AAATGAGCATATCTTGTTGTTATAGTATCATGGATGGGTGGGACCCACTATAGTACCCAATAATCTTAAGTGTCATGAAATGAGCCTTTAGAATGGACTAAGACAGAAATGCCCCAACATTTAATACTGTGGTGACATTTATAGCAAAACATACAGAAAAAAAAATAACAGCTGAAATCTACTGAATGTACTTAAAACCATAATAAAGAATAAAAATTCACCATTTTATTATTTATCTCACCTGAATTATATTTGACTAGTTCCTTCTTCAAGACTCCCAGATTGGGAGATGTAGATAACTGCCTCTTTATATATTTTGAGTCAACTTCAGAAAACTCTTCCCTAATTTCAGCTTTTACTGCCTTAACTAATAAAAAATAGGAATTAAATCACATTATTTACTAGGATTCTATTGTCTTACCTGAGCTATCTTCTGGTTCATTCCCTAAGTAATCTAGTTGAAGGGATGTGGATAGCTGATTTTTTATATATCTTAAGTCATCTTCAACAAACTCATCCTTAATTTCAGCTTTTACTTCCATAGCTAACAGAGGTAATTCCAAATTCCAACTATATTATTTATCGGTTTTCTTCAATATTGGTGCAATGAACATAACCTTGTTGATACGTTTGACCACAGTATTTGACGCTAACCTAACCTAACCTTCTTATCTATGGTTTGACGTTAAATGCAAGCTTAAAATACGTCAGTGTTGCCATCTACTCAAATATTTCCCACTCTCACATATAAAATTATTGGCAAGATTTATATGAAATGAAAATGTAAAATTGAAAAATACATATATATATATATATATATATAATTAAACAAAAATGTGAAATATATATATATATATATTCATCTAAATATATATAAATAAATATAAATATATATAAATATATATAAATATATATAAATATATATCTATATATATATATATATATATATATATATATATATATATATATATATATATTATATATATATATATATATATATATATATAATTACCTAAATAAAAGCATTTAAGTTATACCTATAAATATTATAAATTAAAATTATATCTTGCATTTCTACATTTAAAATATAATAAAAACCATTAAAATTATGCTTAAGGTAAAAATTAATAGTTTAGAAACTTTATAAACTACAAAATAAAGTAAAGTTAAATGAAAAGAAAATTAGGTTAAACAAAAGAATACACTAAATATTTAGCTATACTTCATCTAATTTAGATAGCGACTTACGTCATTATCTACGTCAGAGATCGAAGTTGACATAGTTGCCAAAGTATAAAAAAAATCCTGACTCCATTTTAAATCAAATTGGTCACATAATTAATGCAAAAGTATTACCATCTCTTTACAACGACTATTTAAATTCTTACGTGACATTTTTGAAATAAAACACACTAATTTTGTTCTAAAAAGAACAGATTTTATTAAATAGGTAAAAATATAAAACAAGAGGTATTCACTTTAAAATTTAAAATAATAAAGTACAAAAAGTGTCAACACCGCAACTGTCAAATAAGTGTTACCAATTTATGCCAAAATTTTACCTTAGTTCGATTACAGTTACAGTGTGTTCCGAACAAATGTTCTTGATAAAAACTCTTTATAATGGATTTATACAAATTAAATGAAACATATTATTGTGTATTTCTTTAAGTTAACATTAATAGAAATTTTTAAATATTATTTCAACGCGTATATAATAAAATATGTCTAGTGGCTGTAATGCCAGTGTACTCGGTAAAGTGATTGTAAAAAAGAACACACCTACATTCTAAATATTTTGTGTTGGTATCATGTGACGTCACAGGCTATGACGCCGATGACGTGCATCGTTATATAAATTAGATGAAGTGTATATGCATTTGATTATCTTTAATTTAATTAAAATCTTTGAATTTTTATATAATTTCAATGCATTTCTATTATATACGGTAATTTAATTATTACTAATAATTTTTTATATAATTTTAATCAATTTTATTGTATATGCATTTGATTATTATCTTTAATTTAACTAAAATATTTTTTATATATCACTTTAATCAACATTTGTATAATATTATTTGAGAGTATGAAAAAACTGGAGACTTGGCAACTCTGACACCATTTAAGCGAACGTTAAATGTCATATATATATATACTTCATCTAATTTAGATAACGACTTACGTCATTATCTACCTCAGAGATCGAAGTTGACACAGTTGCCAAAGTATAAAAAAATCCTGACTCCATTTTAAATCAAATAGATTACATAATTATTGCAAAAGTATTACCATCTCTTTACAACAACTATTTAAATTCTTACGTGACATGTTTAAAATAAAACACACTAATTTTGTTCTAAAAAGAACAGATTTTATTAAATAGTTAAAAATATAAAACAAGAGATATTCACTTTAAAATTCAAAATAATGAAGTACAAAAAGTGTCAACACCGCAACTGTCAAATAAGTGTTACCAATTTATGCCAAAATTTTACCTTCGTTCGATTACAGTAACAGTGTGTTCCGAACAAATGTTCTTGATAAAAACGCTTTATAATGCATTTATACAAATTAAATGAAACATACTTTAAGTTAGCATTAATAGAAATTTTTAAATATTATTGCTACGCGTATATAATAAAATATGTCTAGTGGCTGTAATGCCAGTGTACTCGGTAAAGTGATTCTAAAAAAGAACACACCTACAACCTAAATATTTTGTGTTGATATCATGTGACGTCACAGGCTACGTCGCCGATGACGTGCATCGTTATATAAATTAGATGAAGTGTATATATGTTAAATGTCATTGGTTATCCGGTTAGGTTAGAGTGCCCGCCAAGGCTGCCAGGCTTAGGGATTTATCCCGAATCTAGGGATATTTCAGCATAAAAGGGACAAAGGGATTTTTTTGATATTTATGGTAAAATCTAGGGATTTTTGACCGGCTCAAATATTTACCTACATAGGCCTATTATAATAACATTTTCTTTAATTCAGGTATAAAACCACTTCGTATTAACAGTATTAAATAAGCGATTTTTAATTACAAATACTTGAACTACTAGTAAACTACTAAAGGATTCTATTATCAGATGTCGTTAACTGTCCACGTTCTTGGAATCTTTATTTTATGCTACCAAATCGATTACTGCCAAATATAGAGAATCCTATATATTTTCATAGAGGAGAAGCAAATTCTGGAGCAGGAATTAGGGGATTTACAAAAATCTTAGGGTTTTATAAAATAAATAATTAGGGGATTTACAGTAGGAATCGGGTGAATCCCAGGATTCGTGGAAATATATAAATAAAATTATATGCTTCACCATCTCAATTCTTTTCAAGTTGTATTTTGTATTAATTTTATCAAGTGAATAATACTTAATAATATATTAAATGGAATATTCAAAGCCATAAATAAGTACGTTATTCCGTTTTTGTTAAATTTATTCAAATCATCGCTATTATACCGTTTAAAAATGAAATATTTTTTAAATAAAGGTATAAAACAACAATTATTTTTTTAGGTTGAGTTTACCGAGAGCACAAGCTGAATATAGCTACAAATGTCAAAAATATTCCGGCTTGGCAGTGTTGGCATGTTTTTATAATGCATATATTGTATGCTTCAAATATAAAGAGATAAAGCTTTTAAAAAGTATATTTTGATTATACTATTTTATGATATGATGATATTTATGATTTATATTAGTCTCTTTCGAGATTAATTGCAAACATATGTTGTAATCTGGCAACTGCTCATTTGACGATTGCCAAATCTATCCCCTAATCTACCAAAGTGTAATTGCTAAAAAAATTCTAATAATTAACTGCAATTAATCTCCAAAGAAACAAATATTTACACATTATAAATATCTACATATATCTACATTATAAAAACATGCCAACACTGCTATACCGAAATTTTTTGTCCCATGTTTGACATTTGTGGCTATAATCAGCTTGTTCTTTCGGTAAATTTCACGGTTCCTAGACTTACTACGGTTGCCTCTTCCGCCTAACCAATGAACGTTAAGCCGGATTGTACTCCTGTGGCGTAATTTGAATCTTAACATTCAGCCCTGTGATTGGATGGATGTATCAAAACAAAAATGTTTTATAAATAAAGTAGGTTGATTTCATATTTCATGTAATCAAATGAACTATTTTACAATAAAGCCAAGTTAAAGTTATTTATTTATGTTAATATACAATAAAGTACTTACATATGTCAAAAAATAGTATAAAATAAAAATTAACATATTAAAAACATAAGGTATAATAATGCATATATACGTTAAGGCAAACATTACACAGAATATTATATTCTGGGTTCCCAGGTATACACAAAATAGGATTCATCGTCATCAATACACAAGCCAGTTCGAAACATTAAAGTTAAAATTTAGGAATTCATCACTTGAAAACTGCTTCCCCTTCAACCAATGGACTCTTTGCTTTACCACAATACTCAAAGATATCATTAAGGTTCATTTCCATTATTAAATGATACAAATAACTCGTCTTAAACCAAACTAAACATGGAAAAGCAATGGTAAATATTCGAATGTTATGTTTGTTTTTGTTTATACCATTTATATCGGCCATGACACTGCAATCGACCTGCCCTCTACATTCAGTTTCAATCGCGAATAAATGGGTTTTTTATTCTTGTGTACTCCTGTGACGTAACTCAAGAATCCCCACCCCAGTCGGAAGAGGCAACCGTAGTAAGTCTACGAACCGTGGGTAAATTCTACCTTTTTTATTCCATGTTATTATATTAGGCAGCCATCAATACATTCCATCATTTTATTTAGGATTAGGCAACCATATATACATTTATTCCAATCTAGGGATTTCTAGGGACATTTTAATGTTCAATTTAGGGAGGACAAAAATTTTCACCTGGGGCGAGATGCCATATATTTAATCTATGGAGATGCCCCAAAAATTTTTTTGAGGAATACCGTCTGGAATTACCTTTGTTAGCTATGGAAGTAAAAGCTGAAATTAAGGATGAGTTTGTTGAAGATGACTTAAAATATACAAAAAATCAGCTATCCACATCCCTTAATCTGGATGACTTAGGGAATGAACCAGAAGATAGCCCAGGTAAGACAATAGAATCCTAGTAAATAATGTGATTTAATTCCTATTTTTTATTAGTTACGACAGTAAAAGCTGAAATTAGTGAAGAGTTTTCTGAAGTTGACTCAAAATATATAAAGAGGCAATTATCTGCATCTCCCAATCTGGGAGTCTTGAAGAATGAACCAGTTGAATATAATTCAGGTGAGATAAATCATAAAATGGTGAATTTTTTATTCTTTAACTTTCTTTAATTATGGTTTTAAATACATTCAGTAGATTTCAGCTGTATATAAGCTTGATTTTTATCTGTATATTTTGCTATAAATGTCACTACAGTGTTACATGTTGAGGCATTTCTGTCTTAGTCCATTCTAAAGGTTCATTTCATGACTCTTTAACTTATTGGGTACTATAGTGGGTCCCACCTTGACTTTACAGTACAAAAGGCTCTTATGAGCAACAGTGATGCCAAAGTTTATCAGAATCAGGTTTGAAGCAAATATACTTTCTTTTCTATAGGGTATAAATAAATGGTACTAGTGTAATAAGCCAGAATGACCAAAAATTAGATTTTGGAGTGATGAGATCTGTAACAGGTTAGCATCTATCTACTAGTCTTTGTGGAATGTAATAAGGAAGGAAAAATCTTCGAAGTTTAAGCTATTGTCATGAGTTTAAACCAGGATCAAAGTTTGATATACTGCAAAATGAGGACGATTTTCACATTTGGTCCCATTGAAGATAGCTTCAAATGGGTTTGACAGAATGAAATATTGGTGTTTCGCAGTGTTGAAATTTACATTACAAACGAAACATACACAATTAAAAGTAATAAGATATTTAAAAACTAATATTTAACAATTACGAAAAAAAGAAAAAGTAAATAGTTTTAAAACAGTTTTTAACAGTAAATAGTAAAATGTCAGTAAAAATAATAAAATTTAAAAGGCATCTGTTGCAATCTGGCAGCTGGTGGTTTGAGGGTTCTGACTCTATTACCAAATCTACCCGCTAACCTACCAAAGGGCAATTGCCAAAAAAATTTTCTGGTAATTTATTACAACTTATATCAAACGGAACAAATATTACTTCATTAATATTTTATATAAGGTATAAAATTGCAGAATCCATAAAATAATATGATAAAAATGTACCTTTTAAAAGCTTTATCTCTTTGTATTTGAAGCATATAACATATACATTATAATAACATGGCAACACTGCCAACGCAATATTTCCTTCTGTGAAACTTAATTGACAGCTAATTTGAGGCTATCTTCAACGGGACCAAATGTGAAAATCGTCCCAAAATGCTTCACAAAGTGGGGATGAATTTTTAAGTTTCCAATATTTATTTGTTAGATCTGCTTCTTTCAATTTGCTTATATTTATATAAAGGGAAGGAACCCTCTGTTGTATTTTAATAATACATTTTTTACTTAGATAATCTCTCCTATATTTTAGTAATGCTAAAGAAGAGGTATTCTGGTTTAAGTCAGAGACAAAATTTTTTCAACTTTCTAGCTATTGCTTTAATTTTTTTTACTTTTTACCATGATATATTGCCATTTCAAGTAATTTTAATAGTTAGGGTTTTGTTTATAATTTGAAAGTGTTTCTTTTTCTCTCTTTGATAATATCATCACAATTTGTGTTAAACCAAGGCAGAGAATTTCGAATTTTGCCTTTAAAAGCTTTATATTGTGGAATTGGTAGTTAAGGTGGTATGTCACAATGTTAAAATTTATATACTTTTTAGGTACAGTTATCGTCACTATTTCAAAACAAATCTTCAATTTAGACTATGTACGTAAACTGTAAACTTTTTATTTTAATGATTTCTAGTTAAAATTTCCAAAGAAAGCAGTAATTTTTTCATAACTGGACTTAAATGAATCCATCACATAACTTATGTGGTAACGTGCCTAAAAATTGGTATTATGTAATAATTTTTGAACTTGTACCTGTAGCTAAAGATAACTGTACCTAAAGATACAATTACAATTAAAATCTGCAAACTAGGGATTTTATAGAAATTAGTTCGGCTATCACTTAGTAGATGTGAAAATAAGTTCACGTGCCATTTAGAAGAAGGCAGCAGTGATGTATTAAATAGTGAGAAATGCCAAGTTTAAGAACAATTTGCAAAACATTGAAACCTAGTTTTGTGGTTATGCGGATTGTCCATTTTTTTGCATCAAAAATGGTAATTTTTATTTATTTATTTATTAACGGATATACCATTTACATTGGAACAATATATAATATATAAAATTTTACAAAGTAAGCATAACATTGGAAAATAATTGGTAAGTTTAACAAAAACTAATAATTAACTTGAATACAAACTAATATGACACAAATAGCAGTATCTTTATCACATTTTTAAATTGTTCTAAGGACTGGAAAAATAAGTCCAGATCACTTTGGTACCTATTATATAGTCACATCATATGAGTAAGAGGCTTGAAGTATTCATAATTAAATTCATAATAAAATGGATGAAATGGGAGATGAAATAATGAAGTATGCCTAGTTCCATGAAGAGTGTTAAGACCTAATTGATTTAAAAGTTCAGGGCAATTTATCAAATTATTAACAATTTTGTAAAGGAATATTAGGCAAAAATAATCTTTTCGCTGATTCATAGAAACCATTTTCAAGTGATCACCTATCATACTATAACTGTATGGGACAGAGAGGTCATGAAAAGCACTACAGTAATGATAGTGTTTACCAAATTTATGCTGAACACGATCAAGCTTGTCTATAGATGTTTGATAGTAAGGTCCCCATACAGCTATTGCATATTCTAGTCTGGAGCGAATCAGACTATTAAAAAGAATTGATAAAACAACACATGAAAATTGAGAAGTGCTTCTAGTTATAAACCCTAATTGTTTAATTAATTACTATTAAACTGGGAATAAGCCACAATTAAAGATAAAAATACGTTTATTGACGTTTCAATTTCCACTTCGGAAATCGTTCTCAAAATACAAACAGTTCTCAATTTACTGTTTGTATTTTGAGAACGATTTCCGAAGTGGAAATTGAAACCTCAATAAACATATTTTTATCTTTAATTGTGGCTTATTCCCAGTTTAATAGTAATTAATTTACAATGCCACAAGAAAATAGCTTCAGAACCTAATTGTTTAAATGCACTGTTTACTGTGACCTCTAGATGCTTACGAAATGCTAATTTACAATCAAAATAAACACCTAAATCCTTAAAACAGTCCTGTCTAGACAGCTGAGTGTTATCAATGCTATAATCGTAATTTAAAATTGTTTGTTTCATATGAAAAGTAATAACACAACACTTATCAATGTTCAATATTAACTCATTTAGTTTGCACCAATCGCTAAATCTGCTGATATCCTCTTGTAGCTGAATTTGATCATACTGACAAGTAATGAGTTTATAAATTTTTTTATCATCAGCAAAGTTGAGAAATTTTGAATACTTAATGACTTTCTCAACATCGTTAACAAAGAGGACAAAAAGTAGAGTACCACAATGTGACCCCTGTGGTACTCCAGAGAGGATGTCAATAGATTGAGACAACACACCATTTATCTTAATGCTCTGGTTGTTACCCACAAGAAAACTATGGCTTCTAATTTACTGATTAAATAAAGATGATTTACTTTATCGAATGCCTTTGAGAAGCCAGTATATATGCTGTCCACCTAGTGGACCTCGTAATACGAATCACGTTGTTTTGTTTAGCAAAGCGCCCCCCCCCCCAGTTAATATTATGGCTTCGTTTGACTTTCAATTATCAATCATGATTGCATAACGTCACAGTGTTTTAAAAATACAAGTATACCATTTTTATCCTTGCCACCCTGATGTTATGTAATCGTGGTTGAAGGTCAAACTGTAGTCAGTAAAGTTTACTGGGGGGTTATACTGGTTTTAGAGCATAAGCTCTAATATGTCACGTGGGGTTTATCTAAAAACAATTTCAGTTTTATTCGCTCTTTGGCAAATTTAATTTTTGTTGACAAACCAATATAATGTAATCATTGATTAAATTTTGTCAATTAATTATTGCCGTAAGTGAAAAAGACTATTGAAATTTACTTGAGTCATAATTAGAAATGAGAGGAAGATCTGAAATTTTCTGATAAACCAACTTCCCCTGTTAACATTCGATATGAAAAAAATTGTTATTGTAGTAACGCTGTTTTTTAACTGACTAACGTATTTTAGATTTCTTAGAAATACAGTTCTTATAAATAAATCATCCCATTACCATAATCCCTTTTTTGTTCATTATTTACCTTAGTGTTGCCCAAATGCAAGAACAACACGAGACTTAGACAGTCTTGGTCTTGGTCTTGCACCAATATACCTGGTCTTGGTCTTGGTATTGCGCTCCCAGTCTTGGTCTTGGTCTTGCAGCAAGAGTCTTGCAAGTCTCGCAAATACCCATTAGCCTATTGCTATTTATTAAATGTTACTTTAGATATTGAACAACGTAACACAGTAGGTATATTTTAAGCTTGAATTAACATAGCCATAAAAAGACCAACCAAATTAATGAATGTCTAAACAACTGACACTGGGTGGGGTTTGAACCCACGATCTAAGCGATCCGTGCCTATGCTCTAACTAGCTGAGCTATCTACCATGTCCCACGGGAGTCAATCTGATTCTTAATAAACGTTTGCTTTTAACAAGCTTACGTATGCACAAACATGGTTAAAAAACAAAACAACCAAATTAATGACATAAACTTGACTGTATTTTAAAGAACATTATTTGTCTAGAAAGGGATTGGTGGACCCTCACCTTATATGAAATGGAATAAAATAGTAATATAATTTGCCATTTATTTAAATAAAAAATAAAATACAACACAGTTCACAATAGACTTTTACATTACTGGTACTTTATATTTATTCCTTTGACCAAGAATTAATACAAAGTAGCCATCTGGCTGACTCATCACTTAACCTATTTCGATGTTTTCTAATTACTAACGATGCTTTAGAAAATAATCTCTCAGCAGGTACTGAAGTTGCTGGTATTAAAAGAAAATCACGGGCCATCTTCGATAAAGTCGGATATTCTGTCTCATGCGTCCTCCACCACTCTAAAATGTCTTTCGAGTTAGCGGCTCTGGGTTTACTTAGGTACTCCTCCAACTTGTCAATAACTAAGCCTTGATGACAAGATCCAGATGAAGTCGAGGAGCATTCATACAGTTTCTCAAAGTCTATTAAGTCTTCATCTTCATCATATTCAGATACTTTCTTTTCATTTCTTGGTGATTCTAGAGAATTATTTACTGGGTGTAGAGTTTTATATTCTTTGTAAAGTTTATTAAATTTTCGCAGGCTTTCTGTTTTAATTGGCTTCTAACATAACGTCATGTCAAAAGTCTGAGCCTTATGCCTTGGGCCTAAAATTAAAGAGATACAATAAATCCAGTTGCAATATTGAAGCCATAGCGTGTCCATTAGATAATAGATGGCACCATCCAAATTATCTGAATAATTTTGTCAGTTGACAGTGTAACAGAGACCAGCAGTTGAGTGACCGTTGGATGTGTGTGTAATTACAGAATTTCTTTAGAAACTGAACCATTATAAGGTATGATAAACATTGATTATATTATTTTTGTATTCTTTAGTTAATGAATATGTATGATTTAAGTATTATATTAGCTATTGCAACATAAATATTAAATATTATATCTGTAAAACACAAAATTTTGATAGTGCCGGTTACTGGGTTTTAAAATTTGTCTATATCTAGTAATTGGCATCCATGCCAATCTTTGGTCTGAAGTAAATTTTAATTATGCTAGTAATTGGCAATTAGCTTAATTTTGCAAAAATAGTTTTTCGATTTTGAAAAGTAGAAATCAGTACGCTAATAAATAATATTAAAATTCATCAAGGCATTTATCAGGCTATATTCTATACAATATAGGAATTTATTTTTAACAAAAAATATGTTTTGAGCTTTTTGAAAAACATTTTAGAGAATTTTGCTTTTCTCTTGTAGATTATTCGACAATGCCCAAGGTAAAGGCAAATAGTAAATATGTTAAATCATATGATGAAACTATATTGCAAAACGCTTTAGAAGCCATTAATAATGGAATGTCTAAAAAGCAAGCGGCCGAAAAGTTTAATATACCGAGACAAACTTTGCAGTATCGTCTAAGCAATAAATTTAAAAAGCCAGGACATGGACCAACTTCTTACCTGACCTCAGAAGAAGAAAATATTTTGACAGAGTGGATTCTAGAAAGTCATAAAAAAGGTTTTCCTCGTAGGCGAGAAGATATCCAGAACGCTGTAAAAACATTTTTAGACAAGAATCCCAGGCAAACTCCTTTTCAGAATAACATTCCTGGAAATCACTGGTATCAGTCTTTTATGAAAAGGCATCCTTGTTTAGTATCTCGTGTTCCTGAAGCAGTTACCAGTGCCAGCGCAAATGTATCAGAATTTGACATAAGGAAGTGGTTTTCGAATATAGAGTCTTATCTAAAAGAAAAATCATATTTCGAAATACTTACCGACCCATCAAGAATATTTAATGCAGATGAGACGTGCTTCTTATTTTGTCCAAATGCAGACAAAGTTATTGCACCTCGAGGAACAAAGAATGTTTACCAAGTAGACCAAGGAGCTGCAAAAGCAAATTTAACTGTTTTATTTACTTTTTCAGCTTCTGGTTCAATAATTCCACCTATGATTATTTATCCATATAAAAGACTACCAAGTAGTATAGTCAGTAGCGTTCCAGAAGATTGGGGAATCGGTGTTAGTGATAATGGCTGGATTAAGGCCGAACTTTTCTATGAGTATGTGTCTAATATTTTTAATAAGTTTTTGACCCAAAACAATATTAAAAAACCTATTATTCTATTTGTTGATGGTCACAAAACTCATCTCACTTATGAATTGAGTCAGCTGTGTACCAATCTACAAATTATTCTTATTTCGTTGTATCCTAACTCAACAAGGATTTTACAGCCTGCCGACGTATCATGTTTTAAACCATTAAAGAATAGTTGGAAGAAGGCTATTTTAGAATGGCGAAAAGAAAAACCATTTGTACAATTAACAAAACAAGAGTTTGCGCCTATTTTACAAGAGGCTATAAAGAAATTAAAAACTTCCACAATTTCTAGTGGATTCAAAGCATGCGGCCTTTTTCCATGGAATAGTAATGCAATTGATTTTACAAAGTGTTTAGGAAAACAACAAAAGACCGAAAAACAGACTTCAACGCTTAAAAAGGAGTGTGATTTATCTTATGCGGATTTTTGCGAAATAGTAGGTTCAAAAAAACTGCAAGAATTAGAAGATTATACTGATGCAAAAACTGATGAACATTTTCAACTACTCCTAAAAATATGGAAACAATATCAAATTACGAACACGGAAGAAAATAATTTGGATTCCGAAAACAATTTGGATTTTGTTGCAGATACCTCTATGATTACTATAGAGGAAATTGATTTACCCGGCGTTCCAATATTTGACGATAATATTGTAATACCTCAAATCACAGACGAAAGTTATATAGCCAGTACACCAATAATGATGGAAGATGATATTGCTATTCCCGGAACTTCAGCTCAAGCTTACCCATATGAAAGTTTACTTGATTGTAGTAATTTTGACGATATTACTGATACAAATGAGACTGATTTTGTAGTAGAGCATTCTAATAAGAATAATAATGATCAACCACAAAACTCAATCAACAATCAATCACAATCAACCAAAACTCCCACAGGGGATCAACCAAACTGTGTGTCGAATACTAGCTCGAGCATAGAATTTAAAGATTATTTGATGTGGCCTAAAACTCCTGAAAGAAAAGGTAAGCTTCAGACTGAAAGACTTCCTTTTGTAATCACATCAAGTGGTTGGAAAAAAATTTATGAAGAAAAGCAGAGGGATAAGACAGAAAAAGAATTGAAAAAACAAGAAAATAAAATAAAGAAAGAAGAAAATAAATTAAAAAAAGAAGAAAATAAGTTAAGAAAAGAACAAGATAAAATGAAAAAAAATGCGAATAAACCCAAACATATCAGAAATATTTTAAAGGAAGCAGCACATAATAACCATTTAATACCAACACAAACTTCATTCAGTTCATTGCCAACAAATAATAAAATTTTAAATAAAGGAATATGCTTTAGTTGTACAAAAAATTTTTCATTAATCAATTTTGGAATACAGTGTCAAAAATGTTCCAGAAGTTACCATTGTGGTTGCCTAAAAAAAGCTAAGACATATAAAGACTTTTATGTATGTAAAGTGTGTACCACACGCGGCTTGGCATCTTAAGTTGTCATCTTATGTTTCTACATTTTATAGTTATGTTTCTCATTTTTGTACGTGTTTAGCTCATTTTTATTTCTCTCTTTTGTATTTAATAAAAAGTTATATTAAGTTTTATTATTTTTTAAACAATATACCTACCTACCTAGGCTACCTACCCACTAAACCGTAAGGACGTGCCTATCTGAATTTAGGTGCCAATAACTGGATTCCTTGGTATGCCAATTACTAGACTTAAGTGCCAATAACTGGTGAAATAGACCTTTTCTTAAAAAACAATTTATAAAAAATAATTCAGATGGTATTTGAATAAAAAGACGCCAGTATTATAATCTAAAAATATTACCAAATTTGAATGTGAAAATACAACTAACAATGTTTTGAATACTGTTTTTAAAATACAGTTACCTAATTTTTTTTGCTTAAAGTGCCAATAACTGGGTACTTTACTATGTACTTTTTCGAGTGTTTGCCATTCACTATCTGTGATGTTAGAATCGTTCATGCTAAAGTATTTAATAGATCTTGTATGTATCTTGTACCGAATAAAAAACCGAGAATTATTATCCTTACTTCGTTTCTTTTAATATATCGGTATTTTGTTTACACTGTAATCGGTATTATCTCTTTGTTTGTTTATCTCGTTACTTTTGAATATTAGCCGCATTCTTTCAGCAAATTTTGAATGGTATCGTCGCATACTCAGCAAAAAAGATGTTTAGTCTTAGCCGATAAGATTTGTGGTAACTAAATTATAAGGAAAAAATATGCTAACCTAATTATATTTTTTATCAGCTAAGGTGATACATTTTTAAAAAGTTTCGATACGATATGTCGGCGTAGCAAAGCAAAGATATTATTTTATTATTAGAAGGGGCTATTCTTAAAATCTGGACAATTAATTTCAGAGTGAAGAAGTAGTGTGCTGGGAAAGAATGTACAAAATATTTTATTTTTAGATTGTAATTATGACTGAGTACGTGTCAAATTTTTAAGTGTTCTTGTAATGAATATTTTGATTCGCTATGTATGTTTATGGTATTTTTCGTAATGCACAAGTTAAATTTTCCAAATTTTTGGTAATACTTCTTTGCGTCTCATAGAGTCTCTGAGCATAAACCCGAACTATTATACTCCTTCAAACCACACTCAGTCCTAACTGCAAGACGCAAGAGTCTCGCAGGCTTAGTCTTGTTCTTGCTCAAGTCTTGAACGGTTAGTCTTGGTCTTGCAAAAATTAGGCAGTCTTGGTCTTGGTCTCGGTCTTGCAAAAACGCAAGAACAAGACCAAGACCGATTTTGGGCAACACTGATTTACCTGTTTTTCAAACATTTCCAAATTTCTTTATCAGTTTGGAATAAATATTTTTGGACAGGTAAAGAATTCAGAATTGTCAATATGTCCAAACGAATGAACGTTTTGTGTATAGTAGTAAAAAATTCTCTAATCAGCACATCCGGCTAAGTGCTGTTAAGGAAATTAAATTTTATGACTTTCGTCTGAGAATGTATTGAGTATCATGTATCCTATTAATAATATGTATTGGAATTCCATACATATATTTCGCGAAAAATAACTGCGGACTAATAAAATTAATTTTGAGTCAAGTTTCTATAAATCTTTGTATGAGTCAACTTCGTTCACTTGAGACCTTAGACAAAACCTGCTGACAATTTTGTGCCGATATTGCATCCTGTCTTATTGAGTCACGTTTGCCAGAAAATATTCGACTATTCGTCGAATATTGGTGATATCAAAATCACCAATATTTAACACGCTACTTGGAGGTCCTTTTCTAGCCGGTGGCGAAGGGTACAGATAAGAAACGCTGCCGATGCATGCCAGTGCTGTATAGCAAAAATGTTTATTATTTTACGAAGTATAATTAAATCATTATACTGTCAATATAGCCTATTGCCATTTAATTATAAATTATTTTTGTTGCTTAATATATTTTTTATACACTTATGTACTTTACGACAGCTTTAAGTAAATTAAAATTGTCCTTTTTCTGTTCTACATTAATATATATTTGATTATAAAAATAAATGAGGCGCCCATGTCTGGTAATATATTATTCTTTTATTGTTCGTCGGCAAGCAGGTTTTTGGATGTTTCAACTGACTTTATAAATACTATACAACTTTAGAAACAAGATTGAGTGGGCTAATGAGTTTTTTACAGAGTGAAGTTCAAAATAAACAAGAAATTGATTTAGCAACGGAAGGTTTTGGTTTACCGAATGAAAATAAATATAAATTCAATAGCCTTGTTGCCAAGAAAATTGTAAAATTGCCTAAGCAAGGAACTGATCAGCCCTTAGCGAACGCTGCTGGGTT